CCCCTACATATAGTACAGTATCCCGCAAAAATACAGTATTAATTCAGAGTTGGTCTTGATAGGCTAACTCGAACTTTGATTCAGTGAATGATTCGTCTTTCTAGCTTACAGAATTTTGAGAATCCTTTTTTGTTTACACATCTCACTGGTCACGCCGTCACGCTTTATTTCTTACGTACTTCATTTTGATTCCTTATTTCTATAATCTTTTAGTTGACATACCTGAAAGTCCGGCCATGCTACCCAGTGATAATGAATTATTGTTCGACTATCATTCAAGTATTTTAATTCAATCGTTGAAACAACCATATCGCTTTCAATATAGCGCGACTGAAACGGTAGCACAACAATGTTTCTTCAAGAAAGCTCTATAATGTGCCTGACCCTTAAGATGACTGTGAGCTGTCCATTCACAAAACAAACGGGAAAATCGATCTCTCTGAAAATTTCATGTTTTAATCTCGTCGATTCAAGAAATAAAAGGCTCGCTTACTTTGGAAAATACTCAGCGCATCTTCGTTTCCCATTCTCAACATTCTTACACAACATAATAATAGTTGCGACTTGCTCTTGCCATATCATCCGCCAAAATTCTGGTATTGTCTGAGGAAGCGGTCCCTGGTAAGAAATTTCAAAACTCGCAGTACTTGATTTGGGTAAGCGTACCTGAGTCAAGATAAACTGGTTTCGCAATAATGGATAAGTAACCCGATTTGCATGAATATAACCTCCACCTCCTTCAAATAGCAAAAATTCTAAGAGAATTCGCGAAACGTCCAGGCATGGTATATCTGTAAGCACATATGTGACTCTTAGTGGTGAGAAAATCGCAGGGGCTTACTCTTATATCTGTTCTTATATGCGTTTGAAGGATCTCCGAAAACCACACATTCCATCGCATCCGGTTGTGGCAACGTATAAAACTGGTATTTCAACATATCAACTGTCAAAGTACCGCACTAGAATGGGTGAGTAAACCTTCATCAGTTTTACTAACGTTAACAAATGAGCAAAAGACGAGATCCTATCTCCTCCTATGGTTTCCATTATTCACACCCGCTTGCATTTTTTATCAATTATCAGCCAAAATGCTCATACATCCCCACTACTCTTGGAGAAACAGGCGATTTTTTGGAGTGAGTTTGGAGTTTATGAAGAACTAGCTGGCATACCCGGCTCCGCCTGGTCCAGTTAAAA